TATGAAACAGAGTATATGTATGCTCAGTGATTTTATGTTCTTTAATTTGCGTTTGACTTTTGTGGGAAATACAGCTCATATTCTATTTGTACTGTACAATAAAAATTTAAAATAATTAAATATATGAGAAACAAACACTTTTGCAGATATATTTTGTTGAATTTTCTTTATGTGTATACTACTCTATACCATATTTTTGATTGTTAAAATATCCTGTATTGGGGTTTCTCGCTTGAGATGAAGAAGGAGGTAGGGCCTACTCAAAAAGAAATTTCTTACATCAATTATTCTTGCAAGGAGATCTTCGGCAGTTGCTTCTCCACCACAATTTGAGATCGGCTCAGGATGCCAAACAGCTGTTGTCAGTCCGTCACCAATGCAAGTATTATTTGCCACTGGCTGGCCATCTGAATATTTAGAAATTACTTAATAACAATTAGGACACAGTAATTTGCAATTTATAATATGGAACTAGATGATAATCTAGACCACTTGCACTGTTTACATTCTTACATTTAAGGATTTAGCAATGTTACAGCTAACAATTTTATATGGTTATGATAGTGGCTGTGTATGCTACATGTATAGCATATTATATGCTCTTTAAAAGCAAAGTCCAAAAAGAAGAAGAAAAAAAACAAACTAAGAAAGCCTTAAAAATTACAAGAAACCGTAGAAGAGATAAAGAGAAGGCAGCCGAAGGAACAGTGTCGCCGTTCAGTTCTCCAGCATGTTGAGGCACTAGATAAGGGGAAGAATGCATATGCAAATAGACTGAACAGAGCAGAACAGTTTGGTCTTAAGCCTCCTCTCACATAATAGTTTAATAAGAGACTGTTGTCTCTAAGTAATTGGTGTTAGTGGTGTTTATTGATATGTTATTACATATTTGTTTGGGGTGTTACAAAAAAAAAATCATAAAGCTAATACAAAAAATTGATATTTTTTATCTTACAATATTTTCTTGTTTCATCACATTCTTCTTTTGAATCAACAGTTTCTCCTACAAATGTGTCAGGAAATGTGTAACCCATTATAGTCTGTTCAAAACACATTTCTGTGAAGATAAATATCATGGGACAATTTAAGAAAAATAATACAACACTAAAACAATGATGACAATAATTATGATAACAACAATGAAGATGATGATGATGATAATAATAATAACAATGAGGGATAATTCACCTGCTGTATTTATGATGATGCGATCAGGGTTGAGAAATCCATTTGAATTATTTCCAGCCTCCATCAGTGCTGCCAACAAGATATCAATGTATTCCTTTGGCAATCTGTTTAAGTTGTAAACATAAAAGTTTGTGTCTGCAACCACACTACCTTCTCTTAAATCCAGTACTTGCACATATGGATCACTGGGCAAAGACTCGCCATCCAACTAAGAGAAAGGTTATAACATTACTGTTCTATTCAAATTACTACTTAATTATATAACAATTTCCACATACAGTACTGTACTAATACGAGTAAGGACAAAATGTTTGTTACAATTTACCATCCAGACGCCTGCACAAATCTGAAAAAAATACATCATACAGCACCATCACTTTACGCGTATTACTATTAAGGGCATGTTTGAGTTCCTATTTATGTCAATAATAATTTTACACAAATCTACAAAATATTGAACGAACAGTTCGATATTCAATAGCAACACACGTGGGAACAGTATACCACAAGGGAAGCTATATAGAGTAATTTGCATTAGGCTCTGTGTATGCGTATTATTTTTACAATTACTATTATTATTATTATTACTACTACTACTATTACTGTTGTAATGAAACTGGTCCTTGTACGGACGACCACGAGTTCGGCCAGAGCTGTTGGCCCTGGATATTCGCAAGTAACATATAAACAAAATCTGGGGCGGATGCAGAGGGGGTGGAGGGTACAGTCGCACCCCCTAAATTGTATTAATAAAAATAGTTGTTGTATTGTATTGTTGTAAGTTATGAGAGTGCAATTTCTGGGCACCTAGAGGCCTCTTTGCACCGTTCGCCAATATAAAGTGACAGCAGTGACTGGTAGTCTGGCAAATTCCAACTCTTGCTGCTCCTAAACTTTAGAATGATTTGCCACAATCTGTTCGTGAATTTCCATCAGTGGATATTTTCAAAATGAGCCTTAAGTACCTTTTCCACTCCATTTAATATTTTTCTATTGTCTTTTTCTTCTATTCTTTCTTTTCCGTTTTCTACTTGTATACTTTTTCTACCTTTGTTCCCTTAGTTTCTTGTTTGTTTCTTTTTTCCTGAGCACTCCCTCAAATTGGCGCACTGAGACTTCGTATAATGCGCCTTATAAGTCAGAGATTGGAATTTTAAGACAGGTAAAATCCAAAACCGGTACCATACCCCTACAGATCGGCCGCTTAATGAGACTAGAAAAGATATAATGATCCAGTCGTCTTAGAAAAATATCTATCAGAAATCCTACCCTCTTGTAACTGTACTCAACCTATGTAGTTAATTTGCATATCTTACCCAAAACAACAACAAGGCATTGGAGGGCCAGTCTAATTGGTTATACTAGGTTTGGGCTGATCTACTGGGTTGGTCCATTTCACTGACCTTGGTGAACCTGTTGAAATCCCGATTCTGTTACAATACTACTACTATTACCACCACCACCACTACTACTGCTGCTGCCACTGCTACAGCTACTACTACTACTGCTGCTGCTACTACTGCTACCTCTACTACTACTACTACTGCTACCGCTACTATTACTACTACCGCTACCACTACCACTACTATCACTACCACCATTATCACTATCACCGCTGCTGCTGCCACTGCCACCGCCGCCACCACCACTAATAATAATAATAATAATACAGTAGAACCCCTCCTTTAAGACACCCCTATTCAGGGGACACCCCCATTAACGGGACACTGTTCTGTTAAACGAGGGGGTGATATATCTTTTAACACTGCGGCCAACCCCTATTGAGCAGACACCCCTGTTAAACTAGATGGGGACGCTTTCTGAGTGTGCCAAATGGTCAAATAACACCTACTAAGGGGACACTTAATTTTTTTCTATTGTATCACAACAAATAAGGAAAATTCGCTCAACTTCATATATTGACACATTTTGAGCAACTTATTATGAAACTTTTATCAACTTTCTAACTATTACTGCCTTTCTACTGCTGTTTTAAGGACAAGCTTTTGTTAGACTACTATACGTAATAATAATAATAATAATATAATAATAATAATAATAATAACAATAATAATAATAATAATAATAATAATAATAATAATAATAATAATAATAATAATAATTATTATTATTATTATTATTATTATTATTTAACTGAAATTAAAGTGCAAAAAAATTTTCAATCAAGTGAAACAATCTGTATTTGTTTGGTAGTAGTGTGGTGTGTTTAAGTATTTTCATGGTTTGTTGTTTTGCTGGTATTTATTAAAGTGGTGTTCTGTTCTCTCCTCTTATTGATTTGATTGAATTTTGCATTTTGAGAATTTGTCAAATTTTTTTCTTGGTTTCTATTTTAATTATTCCTAAATACGTTAATGTAGGCCTACTACTTTACTTCTCTGTTCCGGAGTTTGTCTGAATTAATTGAAATTAATTTAAATTTGAGCATAAACCAGAAGTTTCTCCCAAATCCTTAGAGTGAATATCGGTAAGGCATACTGGATGTGTTTTAAATCAGTCTTGTCAATTTTCACCCTTAACCACTTGTATTTCTTTTTCTTCGTTTTTCGTGCACTTTTATATGATTCTAATTTTGGGAACATATAAAACTATTGTTGTTTAAATAGAGTTCTGCTAATTTCGTATTATAAATGAATTGTATTTGCATTGAAAATTATTGTTATAAATTAGTTCTAATTCTACTGTAACTAATTATATCAATAAAAATAAAATTATAAAGAATTGTATGTCATTGTTATATAAAAACATACCAAAACCCCTTTTAAGGGGACAATTTCATGTTTTTGATTAGTGTCCCCTAATAAGGGTACCCTATTCAGGGGACACCCTATTAAGGGGACACTTTTTTGGTCATGAAGGTGTCCCCTTAACTCTACTGTAATAATAATAATAAAAACAATTATTATTATTATTATTGTTGTTGTTGTTATATTTATTGTTGCTATTATTATACAAAGACGCATGCTCACTATATAGAATATATAAAATGTTAAAGTCAAGTGACGAATTAGGAATGCATCATCATTTTAATGAATTGTGTAATCCAGTTTTTGTTATATTCTTCTAGTTACAATCCCTGTAAAGAGGATTATTGACTTGGAGTTGTCTTTATTTAAAATGTTTTTCTTTCATTTGCAAAGATCCCCTGGAGTGATGTGTCTCAGCTTAAGAAAAAATAGTGGAAACAATGTAGCTCAGTGTAGCTACTGTGTGATTAAAATTCAAGAATAAATTTTCCGTTTTTTTTAACAATACAAAATATTTGAAATTAGAAATATTGGTTCGGCCCTTGGGGACTTGCGGCAGCCACAGTGCTAGCGACAGTAGCGACATATAACGCATACATTCTCCCTTATCTTGCCCAACGCTCATGCGAGGGTTACTGAACTGCAATTAACCCGACTTGTAGTATCTTTCCCATGTCAATTCTATATTTGCTAACTACAATCAGGAAGGCAATCACAGGTTTAAATAGATGAAAACCATAGCGAACTTACAAATTCAGTGATATTGGAAGAAATCGCTTGGAAGTCTGAACTGGAAGGATTTTGCAGACTTTTAGTAAACAACAATTTTGAGAACGCTAGAGTAACTGGAAAAGTTGAAACTCCTGAAATGAAAGAAAATCAACCGGAAAAGAGTAGTGAATGGCATTATAAGTAAAAATATTTTGGTATTAACAAAATGAACTCCAATTGCAATGTTGGTTGAATTTGAAACCAAACATAAAATAAATAAATAATATAACAGGTACATGGCCAATTTGGACTGTCTTACCAATAACAGTCACAGCGGCACTCAACGAGTGGACGAAAACATTTTGGTGAGGACCGTTGCCAGATCCACTGCACCTGTAGTAACCTAGTGCACTTATGGTCAACTGTAGAGATAGCTCTTCTCTGTTCATGGAATTAGCAAGAGGGGTGCCATCTTTGAACCACTGCCAATCAGTGGAATATTCAATCTTACAGTAAAGAATGACTTGAGTGTTGAGACCTCCTCTCTTTGAGGTTGGATGCCTTGATACCTCGGGTAGGTCTATGAAAATCAATCAAATAAGATGAGTCAATCACAATAAAGTCATTTTTCAATAGTGCAAGTGTTGCTTGAGCATTATGAATCCAAGATATATATAAAATCCAATATAAGATATTAATAAGCAATTGGCATAGTTGCATATCAAACAGTAATGAAAACTATTATATGAAGGTTAGATTAATTCAAAAAGTCCTGCAAGCCCCGAAGGATTTTTATAATCAAGCTGTTGTAGTAGTCATCAGTTGCAATTGTGATATGACCAGTACATCTGTGCACGTATGTGAATTTAGCTATGCGCTAACACTAGAGCTTATGGTATGTAGTACAGTACGATACATAATTATTTGATTGCATTTAAAGTAGTTGTTCAGAGCTTAGAATTTTGATAAATTGCTAGTGCATGGGTTATTACATGTGCTAGAAAGATGAAGGATTGAATAAAACAAACTGATAAAAACACGCTATATCGTCATTGTGAACTGTATATGCCCAGTACGGATTCCTATTTTTAGATATTTTCATCAATTTTGACGATTTTTAGCTCAATTGTACTAGAATTTGCTAAATATGCTTGTTTTGCTAGATTTTTTGCCGAAATTGGTTAAATCGTTGTATTTACACGACTTCTATGCTCTTGTATAACTTTTATAAAAATATAAACAAGCATACCTTTGGCAAAATTAGACCATTTTCTATATTACAAAGGATTGGTCTAATTTTAATTTTTGATGACGAACGATTTTTTTATGGATTTATTATTAAATTTTATTCTGGAGCTAACTTAAATTACTTTTTGCAGTTTTTCATCTTTTTCATGTTGTGAAATTTTAAACGTCATCAGAGTAGCATTTTGTGGTACTGTATTTAAAAAACTCTATAAAACAGCCGTTTTAATTTTTAAAACCCATGCAGATCGATTATGGATGCACAGTAGTATACCAATTGAATTTCCAATTTAAATAGTTTGTTTTGTTTGTAAACAAATTTATCTTACATTAGTATGCCATGTTTTTAAATTAAATTAATTTCTTTTCTATTTTAAAGCAAATGTTGCTAAATTTGTATTCTGGTTGTTAGCTTTTTTGGTAATTTTTCTTTTGAAAGTTCGCATTTAAGGACGCAATGTAGTAGGACAAACTATTCAGAAAGCATATTTGTTATGCTTTATATCGACGTTACAAGTTCAGTTATGAATTCCAAATTTCA